ATTTAATCAATTTCATGAATACTACTATAGAAACGGACATGCAAGTATCAACTAAGTCAGAAGTTATCTACAACAAATTTGTAGAAGTAATAGACAAAAGCAACATTTCTCTAATAAATTTGTTTGAGTCTTATTATAGCAAACAAAAAATGTATGGTAATTTATGTAAACTTTTCCATANTTTTTTTGTCTGCGGGGTTAACGCCCTTAAATAAATTAATTTCTTCCGAGCGTGGGTGAATATTGAAAAAAATCATAACTATAGTACCAATCAGAGCGCGTTAATGAAATTTGGTGTGTACACCACTAACAATATGTAGAACACCCCATATAAAGATTTATTTTTATATATTAAAGCAAACAAACGTGACGCACGCTAAGGTGGGGCTAATCGCATTCCGGATATAACGTCACGCATTATTTTTAAAAATTACTAATGTATGGTGTTTAATTTTCGTCGGTATCTCAAATGGTTTTTGAGAAATTGCACCTCAGTCTTCTTCTGATGGATGAATTTTGAGTTTTCTGAATAATTTCTTATGTTGAAATGAATGACTCGATATCACAAACTTTTTTTGTAAAAGTTTCAGAAAACTCAAAATTCAAGCTTCAAAAGACTTTGAAGTGCAATTTTATATCATAACAAAAAAGTACGGAACCAAAAAACAATGCCGACCTATTTCGGCATTTTGTAAATAAATTAACAATAAAGGTTTTATGAATTTAATTATTGAACACTTTTGGGACATATGATATATTCACAATGCATATATGTACTTATGTATAATTTAGACACAACTGACATATTATATCACTAAGATGCTCATCCTGGCCAATGCACTCCAAATGGAACAATCTAGCGCAAGTTCTACATTTTATAGCGGTTTTATTTGGATTTGAAAGACCACATAATAAACAATTTGACGCTACGTTGTCGGAATGATTTAATAAATAATTTCTTAAATTTTGTCGATATTGATCTATGTTGACATGGCAAGCGAGTGACTGTTTTGTTATAATTTTTTGGAAAAAATATATAATGTACACGCCACAATTATACTGATCTTCATGTAGAACATGGTCAACAATTTTTGTCTTCCATCTCTGCTTGATCCAAATTTTGTCTATGTTGTGAGGGGTATGATAGAATTGATCCAAAAAGTTTTTAAACTTCTTCAAATATAATTCCGTTTCACTATTATTGCTGCCGAAAGGATTCAGGAAGACAAAAGTTTTTTCAATGGGATCCACAATAGCCAAACAGAAATGATTTCCATTTTGGTTGTATGGCAGTATTAAGGTTTTATTGTCGATTTTTAGAGAACTTAATCCATGATATACATTTTTTGGGTCGAAATTGAGTAATTGTGTCGCCAATGTCACAGAAAGAAGTTGTGTTTTATCCTCTTTATTCATTAGACTCAGGCAAATGTCTATAATAAAATTATTTAACCACTCGCTGGACATTAATAAATCGAAATCCCTGCTTGTTATTTCTTTCACGTCGCAAGGAATGTCTCTAAAAAATGCGATGTAATATTTTTTGTTAATATTTATATAATAATTCGCATCATCTACGAGGCCGTTATGAAGAATTTTTAATTTTCTTCCTGGCGCCAATTCGTCTTTTACGAAGGAGGATTGTTTTAAAATGTTTGAAGGGATACCGGTGTTTTTGCCTGTAATGTGTAATAAGGTATTATCCTTGCAGAAAGTACAAAGAAAACTTCCGGAAAATGATTTATTTAAACCATCTTCTACACATTTTTGATGAACCCAGCCATCACAGTTGTCACATTGGACCCAAAATGCAGTAACATCTAATTCACTTTCCTTGCAGTATAGACAAAAATCCTGATCCATTCCTTTGTCATGTCTTTCTTTAGAATATGAGTATTTTGCTAATACTGTTCTGAGTGTTTTTCCTAGGAATACATTCGTTTTCTTTTCCTTCTTCTGCTTCCAAATTTCTTGGGATAACATGCCCCTGTCATCTTCTTTTATCGATTTGTATCTTGTACATGTATATGGTCATATAATGCGGTACGAAGTGAATAATATTCAATGCACCAGTCTATACCAGTTGCCCTAAGCGGTCGCATGAAGTGAAGCGTCACGATTATAGAAGCATATCTACTACCTGGATTGCGTTTCGATATTTGCATACCTAAACGCAAATATGCAGCGTCCCGAATAAACCTCTCGTCTTAACACATAATTTTCGACTAGATAAAGATTCTTATTATATGCGTTAACCACTATATATTAGAATTGCTTTCTTCCAAAAATAATATTTTATTTTGTTGAATCAAGTATTCCCTTTTGTGTCGATACTGTTCCATTTGAGCAGTGAAAGAAATTTATCACTTTCTGTTCTTATTTACTTTTGTTTTAAAACTACTATTTTATTTTAGTATTAAATAGTTTTGTTTTCTTATTAAGAATTAACTTTATTATTTTAGCCGCAGAATAACAGAGATTTGAATATCAGTTTATTCACCTGTTTTTACGAACGTGAAAAATATTTAACAGAAGAACATTTTGTATTTGTTAAAATTTTTTTCGTTATTATCTAAAATTTGGATTTCGTGTACTTACTGTAAAAGTATTCTTGTATAGGGCGTTGTCCTGTAATCAATTTAAGTTTTTTAATCTCAACATCGTAAACATGAAATCCGTCCGTGTACCGATAAAAAAACTAGCAACCTTCATCAATGACCACTATCCCGATATTACTTTCAATGAGATGCGTCAGCTACGAGTTAATAGCGATTTAATTGAAAAAGCTGCTCTATTCTTGTATGATAGTAGCGATTTTAAAAATCGCAACCGCATATTGAAAGTACTTCAGAGGAACACCGGAAACATAAATAATTTAATCAATTTCATGAATACTACTATAGAAACGGACATGCAAGTATCAACTAAGTCAGAAGTTATCTACAACAAATTTGTAGAAGTAATAGACAAAAGCAACATTTCTCTAATAAATTTGTTTGAGTCTTATTATAGCAAACAAAAAATGTATGGTAATTTATGTAAACTTTTCCATATAAGAAACAATTTAAAAAACAGAAAAAAATTACACACTTACTTAATTACACACTAAANTCCTTTATATGGGGTGTTCTACATGTTATTAGTGGTGCACACACCGAATTTTATTAACGCGCTCTGATCGGTACTATAGTTATGATTTTTTTGATATCCATCCACGCTCGGAAGAAATTAATTTATTTAAGGGTGTAAACCCCGCAGACAAAAAATTCCTTTATATGGGGTGTTCTACATGTTGTTAGTGGTGCACGCACCGAATTTTATTAACGCGCTCTGATCGGTACTATAGTTATGATTTTTTCAATATTCACCCACGCTCGGAAGAAATTAATTTATTTAAGGGCGTTAACCCCGCAGACAAAAAAATTCCTTTATATGGGGTGTTCTACATGTTGTTAGTGGCGTACACACCGAATTTTATTAACGCGCTCTCATCGGTACCATAGTTATGATTTTTGTGATATCCATCCACGCTCGGAAGAAATTAATTTATTTAAGGGTGTAAACCCCGCAGACAAAAAATTCCTTTATATGGGGTGTTCTACATGTTATTAGTGGTGCACACACCGAATTTTATTAACGCGCTCTGATCGGTACCATAGTTATGATTTTTGTGATATCCATCCACGCTTGGAAGAAATTAATTTATTTAAGAGTGTAAACCCCTCGGACAAAAAAATTCCTTTATATGGGGTGTTCTACATGTTATTAGTGGTGCACACACCGAATGTTATTAACGCGCTCTGATGGGTACTATAGTTATGATTTTTTTCAATATTCACCCACGCTCGGAAGAAATTAATTAATTTAAGGGTGTAAACATCGCAGACAAAAAAATTCCTTTATACGGCGTGTTCTACATGTTGTTAGTGGTGTACACACCGAATTTTATTAATGCGCTCTGATCGGTGCTATAGTTATGATTTTTTTCAATATTCACCCACGCCCGGAAGAAATTAATTTATTTAAGGGTGTAAACCCCGCAGACAAAAAAATTCCTTTATATGGGGTGTTCTACATGTTGTTAGTGGTGTACACACCGAATTTTATTAATGCGCTCTGATCGGTGCTATAGTTATGATTTTTTTCAATATTCACCCACATCCGGAAGAAATTAATTTATTTAAAAAAAATCCATTTTAGTTATGATTCTTTACATTATCTGTTCACACTCGGAGGAAATTATTTTTTTTAAGAGTGAAAAACGGGCAAAACAATTTCGGTATTGTACGGTTGATTTATATACATTTATTCCTTCATTTTTGGTAGATATTCGTATTGAATAGGTCGTGGATGAGGATGAAGTCGAGAGCGAATAGGATGATATATCTCATTGAAACTGTCTGTACGTCATCAGCCGTGTCTGGAAATGTGTGGATAACTTCACTCAAACGTTTAATTATATGTTACCCCCAAGTACCCGACTGCCCTACTTTGGGGAGAATTAATAACTACAGGAGTCAAATCTTTCGAAAATCCGTCAAGTGTTCTGAAAATAGATTTTTTGATGAACTTACTTTTGTATGTTTATAGGTACTTATAAGGAAAAGTGGCAAAAAATAATACATTTAGGAGAAAAACCTTTTTGGTATACATTCAGTTTACAGTAAAATAAGTGTCAGTTTTACAGGTTTATAGTAAAACCAGTTAGATTAAAGAATAAAATAGAAATAAAGAAAACAAATAATAAAAATAAAATTGAATTAACCAGCGAACACGAAAAATGTTTTAAGGAAAAATTAGCAGATGGGCAATCTTGTTTCTCACTACAAATCAGCGATACCTACATTGAAATGATGTGACGCAGATGTTGCTTGAGAATATTTTGCCACGCCACCAATTAAAACCCAGGAGTATATTGTCTGTCTCTCTCCTTCCAATGCACCGAAGCTTTTACAGTAAGAGCTCGATCTTCTACTTTCTACTTCTATCAGCCAGTTGTGTCGCCGCCGCGTCACGTCGGCCATTTCCAGTTTGACTGTCAGCGAAGTTGCATGGTGTTGTGTTTTGTAAATTGTAAATCTCAATTATTTAAAAGTGTCCTGTAATGGAGGAAATATACTTACTGCCCTGTAACTGACGTAATGGCAAAGGTATGTCTCTTTTTGTGTAGAAATCTGAATTTCGTATAGAAAATATAGGAGTTTATATTCTTGACGTTACCATCACAGTATACATAACTCCATTTTGTGTAGTTGTATACTATAAAAGTAATTTAATTATTTACGCTACAGCATAATATTTTAAATTATTATTATTTATATACAAATTAGAATATTTTAAAATTATGCAATCTGATTTATTTTTATCAGAAAAAAGGTATTTTTGTGTAAAACAAGTAACGTGATTCCACTCATAAAAACAGTTGTAAAATTCCTACTGCAGATTCTACTATCTACATTGAGTACGTCCGATAAAGAATATACGCTTTAAGAGAGCTTTCTTAGGTGAAAATAAATTGATTTAGATAAATTATCTTAGTACAATTTTACTTCCTTAAAACAGGGTGTATACTAAACCGAAAAACCTGAAATTTCAATAAATGTTTAAAATTCTCATTGTTTTCCTGAACATTCGGATATTAATATGTTCCTTGCCGTCGAAATTATTCCTGACGCAAGTTCACTTTGGTGAAATTTAGAACAAAAATTTTTTACTTTAACTTTTGCTAGTGAAAAATAAAAAATAAAGGTCGACGTCAAAAAAATTAATATCAATGAGGTGATACCATTAATTTCGGTACTAGATGACACCATGCCCAGTGGCGGCTCTGAGTATTTGAATAAACAAATAAAGAAAGCACAAATATGAAACTATTTTTTATTAATAAACGTTACAGATATGTCTATGTACGTACAGGGTGATTCTTAAACGGCGACCAAAAATAAAACCTCGTATTCTTTGATGAATTTTAAGAGGAATCTTTCGCATAAGTTTTTTATCTAGGACGCTCCCTTAAAAAGATACAGGGTGTTAAACTTTTAAAAATATTTTTGATTTTTTAAAATAATTTTGGATTATTTCTACTCTTATATTACTTCCCTAGATATAATTTTTATTTTTTTCAATTTATGAACAGTATAAATTCTACTCTTAACAACTGACTAATTAAATTATGTTGTTGAAATACCCAGCATACTTTTTAACTTTATTTAAATAATAATGTAATTTAATTAAAGTTCATACTCATCGTCGTTGATATCTAGTTTTGGAATGGTGAAACCATATGATCATTTGTTTTTCAAAAAAATTATCTGTCATTTCGGGAAATGAAACTCAAACAGTAGGACAAGGACCATTTTACAATATAAAATTGAGTATATAGCATATTTACCTACTTTTTCATGCCGAGATCCATTTTTTGTTCTGATGCTTACGCAGGTTCTAAACACAAGTAACTTACGCTTGTAATAGTAGTAGTATTAAAATATATGCACAAACCAAGAAACTTATTATTAAATTAAGAGTCTTGTGCACAAACCTTCTAAATGTATGAATGCACGCCATTTGTAAATTCATGAAAAACGAAGGAGGGTTGAAACAGATTTTCTTGCAGGGTCTGCAACTTAATTGGAAAATGCCCACTTTTACCCACATAACGAATTAAAATTAGGCAAATTTGTGCATATTATAACCCAAGAAACATCTACAAGTTTAAAAAATGTTTTATATACCGTACAACTGTTTGTCGAAGGGAAAACGGAAAATTTTAGCGTTTATTATGATTTAAAATGTCCGCCCGAATCAACGTTTATAAGTGGTATAAATTATACGTTTAAATATACCGTAACCATTAACAATCCATAAATGTCTGAGACAAATACCTCTATTGATCAACGTAAGTGGTATACGTTTTAAATACCATTAGAAACTTCAATCTGTAAATATATCGTTTAATTTAATCGTTAATATTATCGTTTAATATTAAATATATCGTTTAATTCGTTTAATAATAATTATTATGTATAGACTTGTTTTATTAACATTATATTAAAAAATTGAATGCACGTTTTAATTTACTTTTAATAAGGATATTAAAGAAACGTTTCAATGATTATACAGGGTGTCCCTGAATAACGTGTACAGCGGGAGACGACAGATTCGTGAATTCAAAATAGGCAGATTTAGGCTAATCCACCTTTATCCGAAATCGCTTCGTTTGGCCGGTAGATGACTTCAAAGTTCGTGAAAATTTTTCGAATTTTGTAAATCACTAGAATACGTATTATCCGATTTTGATTATTTTTGGAGTGTGGACTTTTGCTTTCAATCTACACATTTTGGTGTTATACAGAGTGTTTTTTAAAACTTACAACTCCTACAAAATTGATGTAGGGTCAATTGACATTTAAAGGGTCTGTTTAATATTGAAATTTTAGCGTGCGTTTAAAATTTAACGGCATGATACAGAATCGACCCTTAATACTGTTGAATTAATTTGAATTGTGTAATATAGCACAGATGTTGCTCTTTTGATGAAATCCAGAATCTTTTGAAAATCTACCACATCAAAAAAGTTGTTTTTCCAGCAACTTAAAATTTTTGTTAAAATGTTAAATATTTCAAAAATTACGAATACTAAGCATAGGGTCTCCTACATGTTTCTGACTTAAAATTTTGTTATTTTCAAAAATGTGTATACTTAAGGTGTTCAATTTAAAATAACAGAGCTGTTGTAGCGTTAAGATGAAATGGATCACCCTGTATAGTCAAAAATATTTTCTGTCGTGCACCTCACGATTCCTAGCAGTTTCTATAAAATAAATTTTCTTACATTTATACAGTTATCAAAGAAACCACCTTAGATGAAACACCCAGTATATTTTTAGTTTTTCACCAAATAATATAATATTAATGATTTTTTGAGCTATTCTAAAGATATCGAAGTTTGGCTAACTTTAACCATGGGCTAATTGCATCTGTGATATTTTTGTCGGTTAAATGAATCTTCAATCAGCAAGATTTTTTGCCATCTTTCTTTTATTTATCAAAACTAATATTACTTCGCCCTTAAAATCCTCCATAGTGTGCATTGGCAATTTTTCCATTTCGTTGAGTAAAAACTGGCAAAAATTCTCAGTAGCTGATGGTGTAGAGAGATTGTCAGATTTTAGACTACTGCAGATGGATTTTATTGTTTCTGATACAGAAGAACCGTGTTGCCCCTTTTCCTTTTTTAGTATTCGTGTGGCATCTGTAATGTCGCTTCAGGGTCGCCCTGAACACTTGGGGGAAAATAACGCTGCACTTTTTAAACTAGAACTTAATGAATCAGTACGAGAGTGCAGCATGCATCCATGGAAATGTCGGTGTCTATTTCAATTTCAACTAAACTTCTTTCTGTGTTTGTTTCACTGAACGTTTGACTTTGCTGGACGTTGAAGCTGCCTGTTGTCTTTCTCGGCCGAATAATTTCCTCCAAAAATGACATTAAGTGAAACGTCTGCCAGCCCTTTTCTTTGGGAGCCCCTGCACCACTCCTTGTATTATTATCTATATTATTTTTAATTCTTAAGTATTTCTCTTTCAGAGACTTAAAATAATTCTTCGCCCATTGGGTAGTTTGGAAATAAAGTTCTGCATTTCTTTAGAAGCAGCAGAAGATCATTGGTGCTTAGATTTTTTGCTCGATGTAAAATAATCATCACTAAAGCTCGGTGCTGAATCTTTATTATTGCTTAAAATTACGAAAATATATATACAGTGAAAATCGGTTATAATAACCTTCATGGGACCGTTTGTTTACGGTTGTTATAACCCATAGACGTAATTACATAATACTTTATTTAAATTTTTATTGAAAAAACGAGAAAGTTGCAATATAAGTTATGTATATGTATTACTTTGTGTTTAGAGGATTACGCGCACTTCATTTTGAATTAATTGTTTTCGAATAGAGACTTTATTTTATTTCTATCCTTCGAAATTGTTGAAATCGTAGTGTGACACGTCACATTTTTTTTGCTATGCTTGCATTAATGTCTCCGTTTTCTAATCTCCATATTATAATATCTGATTTTTCTTCTTTATTAAAGATTGTTCTTTTCGACATCGTAATAGAAAGTGATCATTAATACATAGAATGTGTTAATGAAATAAGTACTCAAAATTTGAGTGTTTAAAACATGTCGAAATATGATGAAAAGCTTAGTAGAGTTTTCGTCAGTGGCGGCCCCTAAGGGAGATACTCAGAAAACAGTTTTTATTGCATAGAATCAAAACGGTTTAATATTCAATCACAAAATTTTGGGGTTGAATTAGTATTTGTATGCTTAATAATCGATATAATATACAAACCAAAGTTTGCTACAGGGGTGTAAGAAAATGCGGGACCACGGGGCAAATTTTAAATGTTTTTTTGTGTACGCAATTTTTTCTAGTTCCTGAACCGAAAATATGAAAATTTATCATATTTTGCACAAAAAAGGTACTCTTGTTAGATTTTAATCATGCCGATTTCTAATAAAATCCATTAAAATCCATAAAAAATTCCTGCCCAAAATAAATGTATCAAATTGTGTCATGAAAAAATTATTATTTGCGTCAATGAGTAGCAGTAGACATGAGTTTTTGGGATATAATGTACCAATTAAAATCACAACATCAATACATTTGAATCCTATATAGGAGTTGAATGTCTACCATATATTACATCCAATATTGTCGTTTTTTCAAGACAGTTTGTCTCTTCCCTTCCAGTTGAATAAACATCCAACCTCGTTTGTTATTAAATATTTTAAAATTCTTCTGGTTAAAGATTCTAACCCTGAGCCCCCTACGGCTGCGAGTCGTGATACCTGTAAATATTTATAATTAATATAATTTGTGTTTGTCCCTTTCTGAGTTAAGTACCATATACTGTCTAATTTCTTTGTTCTCAATAATTTTCTTGTCTAATCCGTGGAATTTTTGCAGGGTACCTATTGGGAATTTANATCTGTATTTCAAGTAATGTTTTGTATAAAGTTCTACATAACATTTTGGACTGTCCAGGTGTTTTAATTAATATTGATATCAAAGTACCGCGACTATCAGCTAGAAGTAATAATGTTTTTAGTTTACCCGCAGCACGTCGTAGCATCCTAGTAGCATC